GAGAGGACAATTAGGTGTCTCTACTTTGTTTGAGGCAGGGTCTCTTTGTGGTTCATCAATATGTATGCCAAACAAGCCACCCTGTCCCTGCCTCCCCTCTTTCCTTAGAAGCACTGGTATTAGAGATGTGTGCTACTGAGCTAGCTTTTATATGGACTCATTCAAATTTAGGTCTTCATGCTTACACAGCAAACACTTTATTCACTGAGCCATCTCTCTCCTGTAGAAGGACTTCTTCAAATCAAGGTTTAGGAGAATTTTTTGTTGGTTGGCTGGAGACAGGGTCTCTAGTTGTAGCTCTGGCAATGTAGCTCAATGGCCTCAAACTTGTGGGAATTCTTCCTGCTTTAGCCTTTGAAGTCCTGGAATTATGAGTAAGCACCACCACACCCAGCATGAAATTTAATTGGAAGAGATAATTTGGCCAAGGAAGCTTATAATTCTACCATCATATTTAGATAAACTAGCAGTATTTAAGTCTATAGAAATTTGCCTTGCAATTTAGAATAAAAGAACAATTTATTGATACTGATTTTATAAATATCTCAATTACTCCTTTTGAACTGTAGCTAGAAGGCATCAAGTCTACACAAACCCCTCATTTTACAGAGGAAGCCTCTAAAATTGCAGCTTGATCACAGTCCATCCTTATTTGTTTGGAAACACTGTTTTTTGCTTAAAAAATGAAAGATAATGGTTACTTATTTGTACAATCTTTGAATCGAAGTATATTTAAATCTCAGATCTTACTATGCCCAGTAACAACAAGATTTAGAGAAGGTGAGAGTAGCGCAGGAGTTGAGACAAGTCGTTTCCACCTAGTACTCTGTCCTGAGTGAAAGGCTACCTCAGTGAGAGATAGCTTGCAAGAAAATATGCAATAAAGGTGAGAAAGCAGCCAGTATCAGCAGGGGACACCTGCACAGCAGATAGAAGAAAAAACGTGCACACAAATAAGTTAATTCAAGATAACAGTGGTGAGGGATGGAGAGATGGTTCAGTGGTTAAGAGCACTGCCTGATCTTCTCGAGGACCTGGGTTCAGTTCCAAGCACTCATAGGTGGGTAACAATCATCTTTAAGTCCAGTTCTAGGGGATTCAACACCCTCTTCTGGCTACCACAGGCCCTGCATGCATGTGGTGCACTTATATATATGCAGGCAAAGCAGTCATATGCATAAAATAAAAATAAATAAAAAATATTTTTAGAAGATAGCAGCGATAACTGCAGCAGAGAGAATAAAGCATGGGATGTGATAAGCAGTGCTGGCTGGACTGGAGGAATCCTCTAAGCCAGCCAATGATGTGCAAAAGTAAACCGTCAGGATAAAAACCTCTGCCAGGTGTGGGGGCATGCTCCTTTAATCCCAGCACTCTGCAGGAAGAGGCAGGCGGAGCTCTGTGAGTTTTAGTCCAGCCTGATCTACAGAGAGTTCTAGGTCAGCCAGGGCTACATAGATCCTGTCTCTAAAACAATGAAAATTCTCAAAAACAATAACAGCAAAATAAAAATCACATGTCAATAACTTCAATAATAAAGCCACACAATTATCTTAACAAAAGCCCTAAATAATATTTGAATAAATTCAACATTCAGTCTTTTAATTAATTAATTAATTAATTTAATTTTTGCCTCTGCCTCCCAAGTGCAGGGATTGCAGGCATGGGCCACCACGCCTGGCAACATTCAGTCTTAAAACACCTTAAAAATTGAGTTTTAGTGTTGATTTTTCTTGACATCAAAAATGGAAGAGGTTGGGGCTATTGACTCAGTAGTAAAGTACTTGCCCAGCAAGGTGCGGACCTTGGCTCCATCCCTAGCAATGTAAAAATAAAGAAAAGAAAAGAAGAGCAGAGCAGAAAAGAAAAGAAAACAATAGGGAGGTTGAAAAAGAAAAAAACTAAGAGAGTTTAAAATAAAGACTTGACTTTTTAAGGAAAGGGCCAAATCTAGCAAACATGTCCCTTTAAAAGATGAACAGAACAAATGTGCGCTTTGTTCATTTTAATGCTGAAAAAATTTGATATCACAGAAATGAGAAGTGGGGACTGGAGAGATGGCTCAGCAGTTAAGAGCACTGACTGCTCTTGCAGAGGACCTGGGTTTGGTTCCCAACACCTACATACCAATTAACAACCATCTGTATCTCCGGTTCCATGGGATCCTATACCCTCTTCTGGCCTCTAGGTACCCATATGATGCACATATATACATGTAGGCAAAACACTCTTATGCATAAAATAAAAATAATAATTTTTTAAAAGAGAGAAATGAGAAGTAAATGTTGGCAAAAAGGAAAACAAAAATGTTAAAGAAACATAAAACCCAAATTAAGCATCCCTATCCCTGTAAAATTGTTAGATAATAAAAGCATCCAATATATGAAAATAATGAAAACATATGTATTGTCTCTAAATACTAGTAATAACAAATTAGAAGGAATAAGTGAAAAAAGATCTTATTAGTAAACTGCTAAAAACTTTAATGAAAGATTAAAAAACACAAAATAACAAAAACAAGTGAATGGGAGGATTCCATCTGTGTCTAGGGGGTGCCATCATCCACACAGGGCACAGGCTTTCAAGTGTGGCTACTTTAGGTTTCCTCACACTTCTGCCACTAACCTCTCACCCATGCTCTTTCCAGAAGCATGGCAAAAAGGAAGATGACTCCCCAGTCTCTTGGAGTGCAAGGAGGAGGTGGTAGACACTGCAGCCCACGGGTTCTACTTCCAGGCATGAAAGTAACTCAAACAAGTCCCAAGGCGTAAGGAAATGGGCCTTGTTCTTAGGATTCTGCAGCATAGGAAATGAAGCTAAGCAGACTTTATTACATCTATGAGTCCACAGCCTTTTGCAAAGCATTTTATTGCACTTGTGGAAGCCATTGGCATTATGTTTAAATCATAATGGATGTGGATGATAGGCTAACTTCAAAACAATGGCATTGACAACTCTATCATATTTTCTCAGCTAAATACTTAGAATAAGACCTTTTCTAAACTGTCCCTTATCCTGGATGAAAATAAAATGTTAGCTAAAACATTTAAAAACAAAACAAACAAACAACAGAAGTGGATGCATAGACATAATTGTGCATATTTAAAAATATTTCTTAAATTATATGTAGTTTTAACATATTCCAATCAAAACCCAAAGAATGCTTCATAGAATTTGATGAAATGATTCAAAAAATGTTTGGCAAGTTAACTGAGCAAAATTATCAAATAGTATTTTTATTACATTTATTTATTTTTTTGTATTTTTGAGACAGGGTCTCCCTGTAGCCCCAGCTGGCCTGGAACTTGATATGTAGACTAGGCTGGCTTTGAACTCACAGAGGTCTGCCTGCCTCTGCCTCCCAAGTGCTGAGACTAAAGACTTGTGCCACCATGCCTGGGTACTCAAGTAGTATTTTTAAAGATAGTTTTAAATTAAAATTTTATTTGTATTTTATGTGTATGAGTGTTTTGCCTGTATTTATGTAAGTGCACATGTACATGCAATGCCCACAGAGGCCAGAAGAGGGTGTTGGATCCCCTGAAACTGGAGTTAAGGATGGTTGTCAGCCACCATGTAGGTGCTAGGAACTGAACCTGGGTCCTCTGGAAGACAGTAAATTCTCTTACCCACTGAGCCATGTCTCCGTCCCCTCACATAGTATTTTAATAGGGGCAATAAAAGAACAATAAGCAAGAATAATTCTTTCTAAATGCTAAATTTTTTTTTTTTTGGTCTTTTTGAGACAGGGTCTCCCTGTAGCCCCAGTTGTCCTGGAACTCACTATGTAGACCAGGCTGGGCTTGAACTCACAGAGATCGGCCTGCCTCTGCCTCCCAAGTGCTGGGATTAAAGGTGTGCACCACCACGTCCAGCTAAATACTAAAATTTTAAAGGAAATAAAGGAAAAGATATGAAAGTAAGAAAAGATGAAGCAGGGAGCTAGAGAGATGACTTGGTGCTTAACAGCACTGGCAGCTCTTGCAGAGCACTGGAGTTCAGCTCCCAGCACCCATATGTGGCTAACAACCATCAGTAATTCCAGTTCCAGGGGTCTGATGTGCTCTTATGGCCTCCACCTGTATTGCATGCATGTGATGCACTTACATACATGTAGGCAAAACACACATACACACACACACACACACAAGCACAAATTTAATTTTAAAAATGAAGTGAAGAATAATTGGATAACTTAGTTTGCATACAAATTTAACATAATGAACTCAGTTAAATCAAATAATTAGGAAAGGAACAGTCACTTAAGAAACAATAAGAAACCAGGTACAGATGAAGGGTAGTGGCCACACTTCTGGGATCCCAGCACTTGGAAGGCTGAGGCATGAGGATTGTGAATTTGAGGCCATCTCAGGCTACATAACAAGTTCATGGCCAGTATGGGCTACAAAGCTGACTTTGTATTAATTAATTAATTAATTAATTAATTTTATTTTGAGACGGGGTCTCCCTGTAGCCCCAGCTGGCCTGGAACTTCCTATGTAGTCCAGGCTGGCCTGTATCTCACAGAGCTCAACCTGCCTCTGCCTCTCA